ATTTTCTTCCCCTCCCTCCCTCCCTCCCTCTCTCTCTCTCTCTCTCTCTCTCTCTCTCTCTCTCTGTCTCCTGTCTTTTCTGAAAGATGTTTAGAATACTGCCAGGAAATGTAGAAAACAGAAGATGCTCAGTCAAGAATTCTGTTGGAATTTTACCTTTTCTAACCATCATTTAAACACATTTTAGGTCTACTTCCTCAACTGTAAGTTGGGAATAAGTTGATCTCTAATACCTAAGTTGTGCCAAAAATCAAATGAGTTAATGCATATAAAGCATTTAGAAAGAACGTGGCATATAGTCACTAATTAAAACTGCAATTCAATACATTTGCTAAAAGGTAAACTTATACTGTCTTTAGGCTCCCTCTCTACTATCAGAATATAAATTAACTTCATTTAAAAATGTTTTTTCTGTTCTGGGAATCCAACCCAATGCCTTGTGCACACTGGGCAAATGCTCTTACCCTTTAAAAATCTTTTATTATAGCTAACTTGTCTTTCTGTCTTTTCACTTCCTTTGTGGCTCTTCTTTTTGAAAAAATACTTCCTCACCCAATAAATGATATTTCTTTCCTAGTTACTATTCATTCTTACTGTCATTATCAGTGACCTGTTTGTTTCAGAATCTTAAAAGAATGCTTTTTATATCTTTTAGAATTTTTTCCTGTTACTGGGGCTCAAACTCAGGACCTTGCACTTGCAGGGCTAGTACGGTACCTCTGAGCTAAATCCCCAGCCCGTCTTTTATGATTTTCAAAAACTTTTTCATTGTAGAAAAAGTTCAACTTCAGAAATATGGAGGAAATAGTTGAATAAACTCCTAGTGTAATCATTTATCTGTCACCCTAACCATCATCAGCTTACATACAATTTTGTTTAATCTACATCTCATTGTCAGCCTTCTCCAATGATTCTGAAGCAAATTTCAAAATGTAAAATACTGTGTATTTTTACTTGTTTTATTACATAACGATTAGCTTTTTGAAAAGAGAAATTGTCGCCGTTTGTATACAAAGGAATGAAATTATCTTACATTCTTGTTTGCTGTAGTCCTTTTTTGTAAAGGACATTAAGTCCCCGACTTAGAAATGAGTTCTGTTCTGGGAGAACGTTTGTAAGTTGTCTTCATTCCTGAGTCCTACAAAGTCAGTCTTACGTACCTTTATACAAATACACAAGGTAAAGTATTAAAAAACCAAACACACACAGAAATACTGTTAATAAACTACTTTTAGTCTTACAGTTATCTTAAAATGGTAGTACAGCTAACTGTAAATAAACTGTTTTTACTTTTACCTTAAAACGGTAAGGTGGACACATAAGGTACTTCCACGATTTGTTCACATCTACTGTGAGGTCCAGTCATACCTGTGAAAGTTCACAACTCAAATGTTCATAAGTTGGGGACTTACTATAACAGAAAAAAATAATAGAGGTTTTTCTAGTTACAGGGGTTAGTGATAGAGAAAGAACCAGCATAAAGGTAACTGGGAGACTTCATTGTACTATGTTTTATGTTGTTGATTTTGTTTTTTGTTTTGGGGGTTTTTTTGGTACCAGGGATCGAACTCGGGACCTCGTACTTGGGAGGCAGGCAGTGGAACTACTGAGCTAAATCCCCAGCCCTGTACTATATGTTTTCATATAACTTAATAAGTAGTGTTAGTTGTACAGATGAAGGGGTTTCACTGTGACCTCTGTAGCTGCATGTATTGTGGTTTGGTCATATCCGCTGTCCCTCCACACTCTCTTCTCTTTTCTTCAGCCTCCCCTTCTCTCTCATTGCATGTCCTCTTCCTTCTTCCTTGTACTCACTCTTGTAGTTTCAGATATTTTCATTTTTATTTCTTCTTTTTCCTCATATGAGAAGCTTTTCAATCTATTTTATTTTACTTAATGTATTATCTACCAGTTCCATTTTCCTACAAAGAACATGATTTCATTCTTCATAATGGTGGAACCGTTCTCCATTATGGATATATAGCATGGTTTTCTTCTACTGACTGGAAGCTAGACTGATTCCTTATGTTGCACCTATGAATAGTGCTTTAATAAACATGTATATGCAAATGTCTCTCTTGTCTGATGACTTCATTACTTCTGAGTTTATACCTAGGAATGTTACAGCTGAATCATTTCATCTATTTTTAGTTTTTAGAGGAATGTCCATATTATTTTATATAGTAACTACTAAATTACATTTCCACCAGTAGTGGAATAAGGGTTCCTTTTTCTCCACATCCTCTTATTATTGCTACTATTATTTATAACAGCCATTCTGACTGGGGTAACATGGAATCACAATACAGTTTTTTCATTTCCCTCATTGATGACTAAAATTTGTGAGCATCTTTTCATATTTACTAGTCATCTATACTACTTTTGAGAAGTATCTAGAGCCAGCTGTGGTGGCACATGCCTGTAATCCCATCATTTGAGAAGCTGAGACAAGAGGATTGCCATGAGTTCAAAGCCAGCCTATGCTACATAGTTCCAAGCCAGCTTGAACTGTGTGAGCCTCTGACTCAAAAAAACAAAGGAGAGAAGTTTCTGTTCCGATCATTTACCTATTTGTTGATTGGATTACCTGTTCTTTTATTGTTGGTTTGGTTTTGTTTTGTTTTTTAGTTCTTTGTATAATTTGGATATTAATTCTCTATAGATGAATAGCTTATAAAGATATTCTCACATTCTGTAGGTTGACCATTCTGTCAGTTTCCTTTGCTGTGCAAAAAGCTTTTTTAATTTGATGTGATTCTACTTGTTAATTCCTGCTTTTATTTCCTAGGCTGTTGAGTCATAATCAGGAAATCATCAGGAAAAGATGCTCAAAATCTTTAGTCATCAGGGAAATGAAAAAATTGTATTGTGATTCCATCTTACCCCGGTCAAAATGGCTATTTCAATATTTTGAAGTGTTTCCTCTGTTTTCTTTAGTAATTTTAAATTTTAAAGTCTTTGATCCATTTTGAGTTGATTTTTGTACTGTGTGAGATAGCTGGAGTTTAAATCTTCCACATTTGGACATCGGTTTTCCTCTTACCATTTGCTGAAGAGACTGTATTTTCTCCAGCGTATGTTCTTGGCACCTTGGTTGGGAATAGGGTGGTTGTAGATGTGTGGGCTTATTTCTGGACCCTCTATTCCATCATCTACATGTCTTTTTATGTCAGCCTTTCTGTTACTATAAATTTTTAGTATATTTTCAAATAAGGTGTTGTTATGCCAGCATTACTCTTTTTGCTTCAAATTGATTTGGCTATTTTGGGTATGTTGTGCTTAAACGGGTTTTAGGATTGTTTTTTCTAGTTCTGTGAAGACTGTTAGTGGTGTTTTAATGGTTATTTGTAGATTGCTTTTGTTAGTGTGGCCATTTTAACTGTATTCTCCCAATCCATGAATAGGTAAGTATTCTTTCCATCTTCTAGTGCCTTCACTTTCTAAGTTTCACTGACTTGGTCATTCACCTCCTTGGTTAGGTTTATCAGTAAGCTTTGTGGTTATGTGCATTTTATTGAGACTATTATGAGGGGGCTTGTTTTCCTTGTATCTTTCTCATTGGATTCTCATTGCTGAATGGAAAAGTTCTCCATTTTTTGTATCTTGTGTCCTGCTACTATGTTGTCTGTTTACAGTTTGAAGTCTTTTGGTAGTGTCTACAGAATTTCCTAAGTGTAGAATTATATCATGTGCAAACAGGGATAATTTGATTGCCCCCTTTTCTATTTGTTATGTCTTTTGTTTTTTTTGTTGCCTGATGCCAGATTTGAAATGCTATGTTGAGTCAGAGGGGTGAGAACAGAGCCCTGTTCCTGTTGCTGTTCCTGACCCAAGGAAATACTCATGTGTTTGGATTTACACAGCAAATACTTTATTTACAACTCATAAAAATGTTTAATTTTAATTTTAGAAAATGTTTTTGCTCTGACAATATTAAATAATTTATTTTGTTTTTCAGTCATTCATTTCATTTGTTTTTCATTCGTTTCATTTTTAATTCATTTTATTTTTCTTTAGGCACTTCAGCTTCTTTACTGTTTTCCTTTGGACACACGATTAAAAGATGGCAGTAAGTATAAGCAAGTGTTGAGAAGTTTTTATCTTAGTTTCTTTCTGGTATATATGTCATAATTAACATTGTACCTTTTCATTAGGTTTGTTTTGGCAATCACCAAAGAGGCCTCCTTCTCCATTAAAATTTGATTTAAATGAGCCTTTGTAAGTATAAATATAAGTTTCTTAACTGTACATTGCCATCTTTAATGTTAAATGATCATACCCCCGTTATTCAGAGTTCAGTCATAACCCCTGTTGCTACAAACATGTAAATAAATGCATTTACTTATATGGTAGATAACTTCATTATTTATATTGTCTATTCTAAAGTAAAACCAAAATCAACTCTTTGACTTTGTCCACAAAAAAGGGAAATGACAGTAAATATTTTATATTTAATGAGACTATAGTTATATGGAGGAAGCAGTTAATACTGAGTATCTCCATAAATGATCTCAGATGCTTTCAGAGGATTTGGTCTCTGCAGGAATACCTGCATGCAGATTTATATTCAGGGCCGTATATTTTAATTAAACACTTACCCCAGCCAGGAATGGTGGCATATGCCTGCAATTCTAGCACTTGGGAAGCAAAGACAGAAAGACTGCAAGTTTGGGACAGCCTAGGCAGCTTTAGTAAGACCTTGTCTCAAAAACTGAAAAAAAAAAGGTGGCCTGTATTATAGAGAAACCCTGGGATCAATCTCCAGTACCATAAAAGAAAAAAAAAATACACTTAATTTTCCTTCACTAATCTTCCTTTCAGCAAATAGCTCTTTGGTTAATTTTCTCAAAAGGTGCTTGTTTTAGGCCGATAGTCACCTTCTCCTTAACTGCTTCTCCTATAAAAGATAAGCTTTTTTTGTTTATAAACTCATTTCTTTGTGTGTTATAAACGAACTCATTTGAACCTGGTATAACTTTTTAGTGCATGGTGTGTTCTGTTTTCTTGTAAATTAAAGTGAATTTTCTTCCACTAGTCCAGTGGTGGCAAACCTATGGCGTACATGCTGCAGCCAGCTGTTTGTTGTCATTGAAAGCCCTAAAAGGCTCGCCGTCACTGCACTAGTTAGTATAATTTCTATACTCCAATCACTTCTTTCCTCAGAATAGTCATGATGACTACCTGAATATTATTAGTGTCTTTGAGGCTAAACATCTGACATTTTCTCTTCTGTAGCTTCTGTAATGTTTTTGATCTAGACTAGAATTTCATTGTCTTTTAAAAATTAATCCTGGGGCCCGGGGATTTAGCCTGCCTCAAAAGTGCAAGGACCTGAGTTCAATCCCTGGTACCCCCCCCCAAAAAAAAATCCTGTAACAAATATTGGTAATGATTTTTCCTCCGTTATAATTTTAAAGGCTGAATTTGCTAAGGAATTGAATACTTTCAAAAACTGTATTCAAACTTGGCTTTATATTTTAATTTCAAAAGGCACCTCAGTTTCCTTCAGAGTGCCGCAAAACTCTACGCTGCAATATACTGCATTCCATTTGTAGAAAAGGTAAGATAATCTTCAGACTAGCAGTTGATGCAAAACTGGATTAGAATTGGTTAATTGAATCAAAATATGTTTTATGATGTCATTTTATGTACTATAAATTTTTAATTATGTTGTCTCATTGCCCATTGTAATACAACAGAAGGTAAACATTGCATTATTAAACAGAAGTTTAATTTTTCTTAAGTAATGAAACAGCTATATTTTAATGCAGTTATACTTTATTTTTAAAATATTTGTTTATCCACTCATTACCCTAATTATTCTAAAAAGCCAGTGAGCCATTTCATAGCAACTTAAAAATATTCCTAGTCATTATCATTGTGACATTTACAAATGCTTCATGTGTTGACCTTTCTTCACATGGAGGCTTAAATATGGTTTTAAGAGATTGCAGGTTTGCTGTGGTTATTATGCCTGATACTTTTATAGATTTAAAGGCAAATGGAATGGTCAAAATATTCAGATGACAAATATTCACATAGTTTGGAATGACTAAGGACCTTTAATAGGATGTTTAGCTTTAGAATTCAGAATTAGAGCAATATGCTTATTGATTAAATTACTTTGTTTAATACAGGATTTAACAGTAGATGTCCTCATGAATATTCTTTCAAAAGTAAAGATTCAGGAATTCAAGCCATCCAATAAGGTAAGTTTAGAAATTTATTCATTTAGTTAATGGTTACTGAACTTCTGCTTGTGTAAGGTTTCATTCTCAACGTGGAGAATTCCACAGTGAGCAAAGTGCTTATCTGGTAGAGATTATATTCCAGTGGGGTGAAGAGGATGATTTTTTTAAATGCCAATAAATATATAATATTGCAATGAAGACATGAGGGCAAAGAAAGTCAAAATAAGGAGAAGAATGTTGGAGCTCTTACCACTTTATACAAGATGGAAAGGGAAAGCCTTACTGATAATGTTAACATTTGAACAGAAACTAGAAGGAAGTGAGGGATGAGCCATGCTAATACTGATGAGGGAGCAGTCCAGGAGAAGAAATGAGTACAGAGGAAAGGGCTGTGAATGCCTGTTTAGGCCTGGACTTTCTAGCAGAGGGAGTAGGAAGCAGTGAGATTTGAGAGATGATTAAGTTGAGAAATCTGTTTTGTGTCTTACTGTGAAATTAGAAGCAAGTGAAGGGTTTTAAACAGAGAACACAGTATGACGTGTTTTAAAGGAGGACTCTGGCTATTAAGAGTGAGTATGTGGGACATAGAGAAAGCAGGAAAAGCTCTTAGGAATTTACTACAAGAATATAGGCATCTAGGGCCAGAGATTTAATTCAGTGGTGCCGCTGCCTGCCTTGCAAGCACAAGGCTCTTGAGTTCGATCCCAGGTACTGTAAATAAAAGTCCCTCTCCTGTACACAAGAATATAGGTAACAGACAAGTGGTTTGAATGAAGTAGTACATAATGGAAATGTGATGAGAAGGTGTTGGAGTCTCTATATACTTTTTTTTGTTTCCCCGTTAAGTTTCTTGGTATATTTAAAGCAAACAATAGTTACATTTATCGTTGGGATCTTGTACCTTTACATGATGTAACTTTGTTCTTATTTTTTCCACGTACCCTGCCCTCCCTTCACCCCCTTTACCCTTCCCTGTTTACAAAGACTTTTTCCATTTTTTCCTTTTTCACATTATTTTCCCTTATTTCCTTTCTCCACTCCTTCCCACTTTCCCTTTAGCCATTTTCTTCCTGTTTCACACTATCTCTTACGTACTTTATGATAGTCCTCAGCGAATTTCTAACAGACTGAAATTGAAATATGAGAGGGGAAAAATGTATTATTTTCTTGGTTGAAATAGAAGCAAGCTTAGTAGCTCACAGCAAAGGAGATAAGGTAAGGAGATTAGAACAGAACAGAGAAAATATGAAATAATTGCTGAACAGAATAGAAAAGTCATTTAGAAGACATAGCAGAATTGCAATACAGTACAGAGGATCCACCTAATATTAATACACAGTATATTCCACTAAATAAAGCTGTGGCTTCAGCCACATTTAGTTGCTTGGGTGGGATCACAGTGCAGGATCAGTGGAAAACTGGATATAATATAGCTAGGATTGGAATCTTGCCTAGAAAATATTTTGGAAAGAAAAGCGACTCAGATTATTCATAAAAATGAAATGTCAGAATAAATATGAAAGTTTAAAACATTAAGTACTTTTCTTTTTTATAAGTAAAGCATGTGTTTCTCTTTTATGTGCTTTAAAAATCATCCACAGTACAACATCCTCTTATCCTTTAGTTATACCAGAAAAGGTGAGATAAGGACTGCTTCCCTACAAGATTCAAGGAAGAAGGGTGTGTGCAGTCTTCCATTTTACATTTTTATTTTAGGGAAAAGCAAGTCTTATAAGCAGTTGATTTCACACAAATAGTTTGACGAATGAAATGTTCATGACATGTAGGCTATAAAGAGTAAATATAGAATAAGCGTAGACAGAAGTTCCATATAAAGAAGATTGCAGCCCAATTGACAAAACTAGACTAGAAGCAAAGAAAACATGCTTCAGTAACTTTATTGAGCAATATTGCTCTTGCTTCAATATGTTTTCTGGTTTAGATTGCTTCTTGTGTCCAAGTTCAGGGGTACTTAAATTTCCTGAGCAATTTAGCTGTTGTTTGAAGATGAATTATGGTCTTTTTAAACAATTCCCTAAAAGCAGCTCACACCGAAGCTAGCATTTCTAGTCACAGATTTCACAGCTAAGAATCAGTTAGACATGCTGATCAGTTAGACATGCTGTCCAAAAGTTTCTGCTTCCTTGGCTCCTTAATATATCTTAAATATAACAATGCTTAATCTTTTGGAAAAAAAAAAGATAATGGGTGTATATTTTAAATAAGCAATACTTTAGTAAGTAATGATAAATCTGGTTTTTTGATTGATAGTATTGACTTTACAGCTCTCATGGACTATCCAATGAGTAATTTCTAAGGAATTATATGTGATATTAATTATTTGTGAGTGATGTAGATATGAAAGGAGACATTCTTTTTTAAAGAACTTTTCAAAAATCAGCATTTCAGGGATATTTTATGAAGATTTCTTCAGTTTCTTTTACTACATAAAATAGCTCTGTGCTATTAGCCTGGGGTGATTTAAGCTAAAGTAGATTTGTCAGAATGAAAATTTTTAATATGAACTTCATTTTATTGTGAAGTTTTAAAAAATCTGTATAAACTATTGAATAAACATTTTTAACATATAATATAAAAATGATTATTTTAGAAGTAGTGGAGGTCTCAATGAATAAGATAAAGAGCCCTGTTCTTAACAGAGTTTACATTCCAATGTTAGATGACAGATAATAAACAAATACATAAATAATAGTGCTTACTAAAGGAAGATGTAAAATACATTGGATTGTAATAATTATATTCTGATTAAAATATATATGGAGGAAATACCCTCTTTATGATCCATTTGATAAAATACATAAATGGTAACCAAAGTTAAATGTGGGATGTGGTAATGTTAATAAATATATATACATATTTAAAGGTGGTTCAAACAGATGAAACTGCGCGGAAACCGGATCATGTTCCTGTTAGCAGTGAAGATGAGAGGAATGCTGCTTTCCGCCTAGAAAAGGCTATTTCATCTAATGAAGCTACCAAAAGTAAGGGAGACTCATTATTAAACTCTTCTGAATCAGATGGACTTTCATTATCAGTGCACTCCATACTGACATTCTGTGGGATTGTATGCCAATAATAATATAAGTTGATGCCACGATAACATGAAAGTTACTATTCATGTTGGTGACTAAATTGATCATTTTTCCCCACTATGACTCTACCTTCAAATGTTGAAATTGAATTCTCTAAGTCACATAACTACTTTGTTACTGCAGTTCTATTAGTCCTGCAGAGTGTGAGCAGCTCTGAAAACATAAGCAAATACCTCTATTTTTGAGGAATTATAATTTCAGGTGAATGGGAACTTTATGGAGACTAATTTTTTTTTTTTTTTTTTTTTGGTACTTGAGATTGAACTCGGGAACTTGTTCTGGTGAGGCACGTAGCAGAACCACTGAGCTAAATTCCCAGCCCTTTGGAGATGAATCTTGAGACAGATTGATTTAAATCATTTTAGGATAACCAATCATACAGAACTCTTCTTACCTTCTTATTCTCCATAATTACTGATAGAATGCAAACTCATGTAATCACACCCTTGCTTAGTGATCTTATATATCAAAATATAGTAAAATTGAGCTTTCAGTTTTTTTAAAAAAACAGCATTTTTTTAATCATTTTTTGTTGTATAAATCAGTGGTTTCCAGTCTTTTGGGATTTTATAGATGGTCCAGTAAAATTGCAGGGAAAATAATTTTGGAATAATAAACATGAGATTGATTTTGGAAATGACTGATCTAGAAATCTTTCAAAAAGATATGCTTTGAACAAGAGCAAATACTGACTTTTTGGCAGCAGGTAAATGGTTCATGTTTTCTCATTTTGCCATTTAATAGAAGGGTTTTTTTTGTTTTGTTTTGTTTTGTTTTTTTAATGGTACCAGGGATTGAACTCAGGTCTTTGTTCTTGCAAGGCAGGCAGCAGAACCGCTGAGCTAAATCCCCAGCCCTAGAAGGGTTTATTTTTAATACTAAAACTTCTATAATTTGTTGGTATTAAGACCATCATTTTCATATCATTCTATAATTTCAGTTGCTTGGATTTTCAATGTATTTTTCAGTTGTTTAAAAACATAAAGGGAATCCTTGAAAGTTATGAGCCCACATTGCTTTTTATTTAGCAGAATGTATACCTCACTTGGGAATTTTGTTCTTCTGGTTGCAATGATCAGGTGACCTTCAGATGGCAGTGCTTTCGTTTGAGAAAGATGATGACAGTAACGGACACATAGATTTCATCACAGCTGCTTCCAATCTCCGTGCCAGAATGTATAACATTGAGCCAGCCGACCGTTTCAAAACCAAGCGCATAGCTGGTAAAATTATACCTGCCATAGCAACATCCACTGCTGCAGTTTCTGGTTTGGTAAGCTTATTCTTTCAACTAAAATGTTCCATTTTCACTGCTTGTTTCCTGTCTTCCCCAGCATACCAACCCCAAATAATCTCTTACAGATAAAGGATAAATAATACAGGACCATATATATATATACTTTTTTTTTTTTTTTACTGGGGGTTGAACTCGGGTCCTTGCGTTTGCAAGGCACAATGGATCATATAATTTAAAATGTCAGGGTACTTCTGAAAGTAAAGTAATTTATTTTGAGGTTTTATGTACATAAATATTTTAACATAAAAATGTACTTGATAGATTATAACTTTTTGTAGGCAGTAACCTCAGTCATCTTTGTATCTCCATATAGAGTAAGTACTCTTTTCTTGAATAAAAAATAATTTCCTTAATTCTAAGTAATTCAGAATTAAGTTTTGGTTTCTGCTTTTAGAGTAGCAAGATTATATGGTCAAATTTACAGTTTTTAAATAATTATTTACTTTGGGCCAGGGATTTGGCTCAGTGGTTCTGCTGCCTGCTTCTCAAGTGCAAGGACCCAAGTTCGATCCCCGGTAACAAAAAAAAAAATTATTTACTTTGTATGGAACACATTGAAATTTGAAAGTAAAATACTAAAAATGTAGAGATCTATAAAAGAATTATGTATTACTGTAATCTTATAACTCCTTTTACTTTTTCAGAAAAATACTTCAGAACTTTGGAAACTTGAAAAGATCCAATTAATATCTAGAATAATTTTAGGCTATTTATGTAATCAGATGACTTTCTTTTATCTAGGTCGCCTTGGAGATGATCAAAATAACTGGTAGCTTTCCATATGAAGCTTACAAAAATTGTTTCCTTAACTTAGCCATTCCAATTATAGTATTTACAGAGACATCTGAAGTAAGAAAAACTGAAATCAGGTGAGTACGTAGCTTTGTTTCTCTTGTATAGTGAGAATAAGATCAAATGTTTCAGCTTTTAAAAGGGATAAATACTGGTGTTGCCTCTCTCTTCTGTATGTGTAATTTCTTGTCATCAGTTCAAGAATATGTCAAACCTCATCTTCATGGAGTATTTCTGGCTAAATGAGCTAAAGGAGTTTGCTCTTCCACACAGTTTAGCATTATACTGCATGGGCTCATCTGTGTCTGGGACCCAATGAGTTAGAAGGCACTGTGGTATCTGACTATGAATTATGCTATTTAGGGTCTCATTTTACAAACTCAGACAAAGGAAAATAACTCCCTGGGCGGGCCTCTATTTTTTACTTTGCAGATGGGCAGCAAACAAAAGCTCATAGAAAGAAATTATCTGGCAGGAATAGGAAAAAATCAGGTGTTTATACATTACTTATGTGAGTGCAAAAGAGAACAATTTGTAGTGGGGAAGAATGACACTGTATTTCAAATTTGCAGATACATGACACATCTTAAATTACATTTATGCCAGATAATCATTGTGTCATTGTTTATAATAGCCAGTTATTGGAACAACCCAGATATCCAGTAATAGTGGGATCCATCATCCATACAGTGAATGCCTCAAGCAGGCTACTTACAAAGAAAGGACAGCAGAACAGGAAGACAGTTGTAATGAGCCACTGACAGAATCACAAAGGCCAGATAAAATTTGTTAGGTGCTATGGAGAAATAGGCTGTGGAATATTTTATAAGTTGTGTGTTCCTTTTTTCACAAATTTCTAACTTACAAATAATGAGCTACAGGCAGTTTTTTTATTCTTACTAGAGGGAAGAAAAATTAAATATTTTCCTGAATATTTTTCTACAACAGAAATGAAATATCATTTACAATTTGGGACAGATGGACTATACATGGAAAAGAAGATTTTACCCTCTTGGATTTTATAAATGCAGTCAAGGTGAGATTCTTTCATTCATCTTGTTACTGCCTTTGAATGTGGTTTCTGTTTATAGTAGTCACTCCTTATTTTTGAGGGTTACATTCTAAGACCCCTAAGAGGATGCTGAAACTGCAAATAGCCCTGCCCTTATATTTCCCTGTCTTCTCCTCTCCATATATACCTATGATAAAGCTTAACTGTAGTAAGTAAGCACAGTAGGAGATTAACAATGATCATAATAGAGCAGTTGTAACTGTATACTGTAATAAAATATTTCAGAGAAGACCTTTTGTAGAGTAGATCTTAGTAATCTCAGCATGATTTATTTCCCCAAGAGGTTGAGAATTGTCACCGTTTCACTTAAAAACAAAAAACACTTTACAGCTATTCTTTAGCATGTCTGAATTGCCAGCATTCAACATTCTTGAACTTGGAAGTTATTATTGTTAAGTAGAAGTTATTTGAACACTTCAGCACTCAGTCTGATAACAAGACAGCGCTGCTGTGACTAGTGAGAGGCAGCGTGTACAGCACAGATGTGCTGAAATAGGGGTGATTCACATCCCCAGTGGATCAAAGGGACCAGTTTGAGATTTCATCCCACTACTCAGAATGGCACACAATTTAAAACTTAGGAATTGCTTATTTCTGGAATTTTCCATTTAATATTTTCAGCCTATGACTGCAGAGGGTGAAACAATAGATAAAAAGGACTACTGTGGTTTTTAACCTGTACTTTATTAGAAGTAATAAGTATTAGCACTGATTTGTTTTCTTTTCCCTTATCATAAAGCGTTTTCACCTGAGTATTTTATGTTTGGATAAGGCTTTGATTGTTTCTCTTTTGGATATTTACTTTTAGGAAAAGTATGGAATTGAGCCAACAATGGTAGTTCAGGGAGTCAAAATGCTTTATGTTCCTGTAATGCCTGGTCACGCAAAAAGATTGAAGTTAACGTAAGTAGTTTCAGCTTTTGTATGCAAAAGAATCAAAATGTAAGTAGTTGCACACTAAATCACATATAGAGGTATTAAAATTCAGGAAAAAACATTACTGTTCCATAATAATGTTAGTAAAGACAATAAATCTAAATCTGCCAGGGAAGAGAAGAAAAGGCCAGTGGCTGCCTTTTTAAGGAGTATCTCAAGATTATAGTACCCTTGTGAGTTTACAGTCAGCACTTCATGCAACAGGATTAGAAAAACTTGATAGTCAAAACAATAAATAAAAGCAGCCCCATCTCTTAGGTGGAAATGTCATAATGGGGCTTATGAAAATTCAGTGTAAAACCAACTGCTAGATAGTTATGCATCTATTCAGGAGATTTTTGTTCAAGGTGCCTGCAATGCCAGGTGCTGTCGCAAACTAGAATACAGTGAAGACCGAGCCAGAGTCCCCCACTGCTTGAGTGATCTCCATAGTCACCAGACTGGATCAGAGCTGGCAAGTGCTGTAGAGACAGTAAAGAAGAAGGAAGAGGGGAATGCCCGAATGGTGAGGCTGAGCTGTTACACTTAGTAATGCAGATACTCCCTCTGCCTGTCACAGTCTCATCCGGTAAAGTGGCACTGAGCAGAGACAGAAAGGAAGAAAGGCAACCAGAAAAAGCCGGACTCTTTACAATGGTCTGAGACCCCAGATGATCTGGTTCCTACCTTTCCCTTCACAGTGTCCCAGCATGCTGGCCTCTTCAGCATTATCTTGAACAGTCAGTCACTCCAATCAGGGTCCAGCACGGGATCTGTGCTCTAGTTGTTCCCTCTGCTTGTAATTTTTTCTGAGATGGCGACCATGTTAATTCTAACTCTTACCTTTGCACTTCCTGTAAAGGCCTTTCTGAACTGTGTTTAATACTGTCCCCACCTCCAGTCTATTGCACCCAACTTTTTGTTCTTTTTCTTTCTCATTGCACTCATCACTGAATTATATGGCTACCGAATATTCTTCTTTAAATATTTCTTTTCTTATCTTTGCCCGACTAAAACATAAGTTTCACAGAGGCAGGAATCTTTATTTGGTTTGGTCATTTTATAACACTTGCCAGTTTTAAAATTATGTTCATTTAAATTATCTTTTTCTTTAATTAAATAATTGAATTTATTGGTACATTTTAGGGATGCAGTACAGTTACATTCATTGTTGGGATCTTGTACCTCTACATGACAGGTCTTTGTTCTCATTTTTTCCCCTTGTCCCTGACCTCCCTTCACCCCCTCATCCCCTCCCCATCTACAAACACTTTATTTCCATCTTTTCATTATCTCACATTTTTTTCTTTTCCCTTATTACCCTTCCCCTACCCATCCCACCTTCCCTACACCTTTAGCCCTTGCTTCCCATTCACAATGTCAGTTAACATTTAAATTATCTTTACCTTAAAAAATATATTAGCTAAAACATTAATTTGCCTTAAATTGTTTTTCATTAGGATCCATAAGTATCTTTTGGATAATTTAAGTAGTTTTGGAATTCTTTAGTTGTAAGCTGCCTAGTTGAAAGTGGAATATATGGTCATGAGATGTATTGATCAGTGGATTTTAACATTTGCCTCAAATAAAAAAAATGTTTTTGAGAGTTGTCCAGTATTTGATGCCTCCAGCATGATATACTTTATGAATGATATTTACATTTTTATTACAGCGTTAATTTTGCAGGTATTTATTAAGTACCTATTAAGTGGCTGGACTCATATAGTCAGTGATGTTGCACTTAAGAACATGAGCTCGCTTAATGTGAAATAGGAAGAAAAGGGCTAAAGGTGTAGGGGACAAGAAAAAATAATGAGAAAAGTAAAAAATGGAAATAAAGTCTTTTTAAATAGGGGAGCAGGGAGAGGGTAAAGGGAGGGCAAAGGAATGGGGAAAAAATGAGAACCAAGATCTGTCATGTAAAGGTACAAGATCCCAGTGATGAAAGTAACTGTACTATATACTTAAAAAGTACCAATAAACTCAATAAAAAGGGCGGGGGGGAGAATATGAGCTGGCTTAGCAATGGATTCGCATGCTTATACAGCCACTTGTTTTGTCACTGAGTACCATCTAAATTTCCTGTCCACAGATATGAATGATTATGTACAAAGCTGTTGAACATTAAAATAGTTGGTTTATATAACAGTGTAATGGAATGGAAAAAATATAAATGATAGTCCTGTTAATATTTTCACATTATACAAATAGCCCTACTCTCGGGAGTTCACAGCCTCCTAAGGGAAATTAATGTTAAACATTAATTAAATGTAATTGACTCATTATAATAAAGACTTTTACAACACCACTAACTCAAACCTGTAGTTCTGGGTAGATTTCATTTACTCTAGCTTTGAAGAAAGAATACTCTTTGTTGCAAAAGCAACAGTTTGTACAAATGTGGCTTAAAAAGAACATGCATGGGTGCTTAGAAAGTGAGATATTTTGTGATCACCTCAAAGATGATATGATGTCAGTGAAGAGTGGGAAGAATGAAAAGTTATATACACAGCAAAATATCTTTGTAAAATGGAAAGAGCCATTATAAAGGATTTTTTAAATTACATAGTTCAGAGCCTAGCATGTAGTTGGTATTTACTAAATAATCCATGACATTGAGATACTAGACTAGGGCTGGATATTTAGTTCATTGGTTCTACCACCTGCCTCGCATGAGCAAGGACCTGAGTTCAGTCCCTGGTACCAAAACAAAAACAACAAAAAGTTAGATACTAGAATAATATCAAACTTATATTTTAAGGAAATTGTAACAGCAGCTATGTAGAGAGAATGGAGACTGGCAATAGCTTGCATTTGAAGATTTTTTATCTAGCTTGCTTTTTTTACTCTTTTCAAAGAAATGGTAGAGACCTTATGATGTCTCTAAACTTTATATTCCTGTATAGGAAAAGAATTGAATTTTAATTTTGTTTTTGTTTTTGTTTTTGTTTTTTGTTTTGTTTTGTTTTTTGGTACCGGGGATCGAACTCACGTCCTTGCGCTTGCAAGGCAGGCCACCAAACCGCTGAGCTAAATCCCCAGCGCTTTTTCTTTTTTTTTTTTTGTACCAGGGATGGAACTTGGGTTCTTGTGCTTGCAAGGCAGGTGGCAGAGCCACTGAGCTAAATCCCCGGCAAGAATTGAATTTTCAAAATCATTGCTGACATTTTGAGTCTGAGCAAATAGTCACTATTTTTTAGCATTAGCAGCAGCAATCTAGATTTGATTCACTCTTAAATAAATGAATCTTGAATTCAGCTTTTAAATAAAAATGCATATATAAAAGTAGATGGATTCGATTTGAAAGTAAAATAATAGATGCAAGTCCACATGTTCTGGTTTACATTTTTAAAAAATCTTTCTTTCATCTTACAGAATTATCATTGTTATCATTTTTGCTTTTTTTCCTTAGGATGCATAAACTTGTGAAGCCTTCTACTGAAAAAAAGTATGTGGATCTTACTGTGTCATTTGCCCCAGACACTGATGGAGATGAAGATTTACCAGGACCTCCAGTGAGATACTTCTTCAGTCATGACACCAATTAATAGAGGTGATCTTAAAGTTACTCCACAACTACATGGATTTATAAAGAGTGCACCTAATTCAAAAGCTTAAAAAAAATCAGCTCATAATACTGTGAATTTCTCTTTGAAGACGGCTTAATTTAAGGCAAACATCAGTAAGAAACTACGTTGAATAATTGGAAGACATTTTGGAACATAATATAAACTTGTCTGATGCTTCACACATGGCTGTGATAACAAGTAACTTTTAATTGGAATACCGTTTATAATACAACAAATTTGTGTCTTCAACTCTCTAGAAGAAAATGAAACAAAACTTGTCTGTGACAAAAATATAAAGAAATTGAAAGTAGTGAATGCAACTATCCAAAATATTTAATCTCTCTTTAAATTTTTTTTTTTTTTTTTTTGGTATATGAGACCCATTTTTCAGTCCAAAGATTGTTCAGCACCTTGTGTCTCTTATGTGATTGGGCTTTAAAGATTTAATACCATTGGAAGAGGAGAGTTAATAGTGGTAGATGAAGAGTAGAGACTGTAAATTGTGTGGTTCTACTTTACTGTCCTGTTACCTCTTCTAGTTTAAAGAGTTTATTATATCCCTTTCTCCCCCAAATCAGGATTTTTTTTTTAATATCATCAGTGTTGTAAGCCATGAGCAAATCAGATGACACGTGTTGACTTGAACTGTTAACAGTATTATATGGACTTGGATCACCCTCTTAGAAAATCCAAGAATGTGAACAGATAATGTGGATAATCATTTGAGCTTTAGATAAGCCTTCTGATATGGGTATTTTATTTATTTGGAACTCTAAGCAGTTGTGATCATACATAAGACTAAAATGTTTTATAAAGGGAGTATCCTCAAATAGATGCAAACAATTTAAAATATCACTGATAGGATCTTGATATTTTTTTTTCTTCTAGCAATCTAATGTTAAAAATGTATTTAAAGTAAATACAAGGGAAGTATATTGTTTTATTCCTCATAAAGGATAAAAAGATTTATTTTAAGGTCTTTATTGAGAGAAACTTTCTGTTTTCTAATAGAAACTGCTGCAGATATAAGTGCTTTCATTAAAACAAGGTGAAGTACTCAACACTCTAAACTCAGTGAGAGCAGCAAGGGATCCCTTTAGTCCTAAGGCTGATTTGCTTTCAAAAGCATTTGGCATTTCATACCCTTAGGAAATCTTTTCCCTCTAGCTTCTCTTCTGCTCTCCTGTCCAGTCCATTCCTAGGTACTTTGATACTAAAAAACGGATTCACTCCCATTTGATATCTCTTTATACTCTGTAATTACTTTCCTTTTCCACTTACAAATAGTGTTGTTGTTGTTGTTGTTGTTGTTGTTGTTGTTGTTGTTTTTCAACCAAGGGTTTTATTTCCTTCTTTGGTAAAGGTATCATCCAGTTGGAAAAGTGTATTTGGAAGTGGAGAGTAAATTTGAATAATTGAAAGATAACCTGCTCATTGAGAGATGGGAGAAAGTGAACAGCATGAGCTTTAAGAAAATAGCTATCTTAGAATAAATTAGTTTTTGATCCCCATATCCTACCCTCTTCCATTGTATGTATTCCAATGTTAAAAATTAACATGACCTAAAATTGAGCCAGGAGTATCAAGGCTCTGTTTCTTCAAATAATAGAAGATAAAAATAAAAAAGACTTTTGTATTAAGAAGCCATTTTCCACTTTCACTTTGTATTGTGCTCTTTGACAGTAACTGATATTTTCTAGGTAGACATTCAGCAGTCCTCAAGTTTTATCTAATAGCTTGCTTACATTGTATTTTAGCTAAGTGCCCCACATCTTTTTGGAAGTAAATTTAGGTCCAGACTATCGACTCATACTTATAGGAACTAATGCTTTAGCAGATATAAATAAAGTTAACAAGGACTAAGTTCATTTTGTGATTAAATCTGCGACCATTTTTTTCCATAGTAATGGTTACTGTTGTCCTTTCTTCTAGTTCTGCTAAGCTGGAAAGCCCAGGTGAAGTTAATGACAATTTTTCTCATTGATTTGTTTATTTCTGTACCATGGAATCAGTGTTGGTGGTTGAAATACCAAATGCAAAAATTTGTTACAATTCCATTGATTCATTTTTTACTTTAAATTTTAAAATAAATGAAAGAAATTTGAGAATATCTATAAAGTATATTCTCTAGTTGGCTCCAGAAATTCTGATTCTGGCATTCATTTTGTGGGTAATGTTGCTTTGATCTTTCCTAATTTTCATGTTTTGCATTTGTGGAGATAGAGCATTCATTAGGTATGGGGGGAATTACTTTGCACTGCCTTTGGTGCCTTGAAATTCTGTTGAAACAGCAGGGAAGGGTGGGCAGTGTAGCTTAGTGCTAGAGTGTGTGCATAGCACTGCACACATGAGGCCCTGGGTTCAGTCCCCAGCACAGTCATTCAATCACGTCAACAAAAGCAGAAAAAAAATTGTTACCATGTGAAACCTCATTTTGTAAATTTCAGGCTGCCAGTTGGGGATTTCTAAAATTCATTCCTTTGAGAGTTCAGAGCAGTAAGTCCTTTGTAAATCATCCCAGAGTTAGAACTTGTAGAATAATATCTTTATTTTGATATGTTGTCTTTAATGTTACGTTTTGGTAATGACAGTGTCAGAGCTTTAAAAAGTTCAAGGTTTTTTTTTAATTCACAATTTATAATTGGTAAAATGAACCTAGAGTGAGGGAGGAATAATTTCTGTTTACCTAATTTTCTCAACTACAATGAATATCATCACAGACTAAAAGTATCTATCTTAGTGTGTGGTTACTAGAGTGGTTTAACTATTTTCTCGAACAGATTCAATAACAAATCAGGAACTTGAGATCTTGGGGATCAGAGTAAATATCAGTAAGTAGTTTGTGTTCCCTTTTCTCTTTTCATGTCTGAAAAGCTTTGATTTTTTTGTTTGTTTGTTTGTTTTTAGTTGATGAGCTATATTTTCAAAAAATATAAATGCAGTAGAATACGTAAAATACAAATGCACAGTTTAAGGAATGATTTTAAAGTGACTGTGTACATAACCAGTCTTCACACTAATAAAACATGGGGAGCAGCTGATAGCTTCTCTATAGTTTCTTCTCACAACAGCTTCCTCACACAGCCTTTGGTGATGACCACTGCTCCACCTTTGGAGTTACTATATCCTTATTCTTACAGTGTTACCTGTGTATGTGACCTGAACAATGCCGTTCATTCCTCCTTCTGAACTGTATGTAAAAGAATCTTCCTTCCTTGGTGGCTTCTTTCATCAACACATGGGTTCATCCACATTGATCGTAGCTGTACTTCATTTGTCATCATTTCTGTATGATCACCTTTGCATTAATAACACAATTGTTAATTATTCTGTTGATTGTGCACAGTTGGGAAGCTTTTAGTTTGAGACAGTGAATTTCTGCCATAAAATACTAGAAGTAAAATTGCTTGATTATAGGTTGCTTGGTTTTTCATGTCTTAAATTTTATTAAATAGCTACAAAAATTTTCTTAGATTCTACTCTGTTGTGTTTAATTCTAATGTTAACAAGTTTTTTGATTTGATTTGGTATTGGTTTGGTTTGGATTTTGCTAATTTGGTTCATGTGCAGTTATATCTAATGGAAATATTTTTTTTGAACTTTCCTATTTACCAGTGAAGTTGAGCACTTTTTTATAAGTTTATTGGCCACTTTGACCTTGGTTTTTGTAAAATGTCTTGTTACATATTTTTCTCGTGTTGGCAGTCTTTTTCCTCATTAATTTATAAAATATGTTTGTGAGTTTTTTTAAAAAATCGTTTCCTGTATGTGTGATTATCATGAAGATACCCTTCTCTGTTGTCTCAGAGAAATTTGGTGTTTTATATTTGTTTTTAATTCACAAGGAATTTGTGTGTGATAGATAATTCCTCTCCACAGTTTACTGAAAAGTCTGTTCTTTTCTCTTTTTCTGCAGTGCCACAGAGTGACACAGGACTATATCCTTATAAATCTTTTTATGAGTTTTTTGTTCCTTTTCTTTTCTATCCCTGTGCTAGTGTCCTGCCTTTCTTACCATAGTTGAAATGTATTTTTTATAATGAGCAAAACAATTCCTCTTGACTTGCTGTTCTGTGCCTTGGTTATTCTTAGCCTTTTGTATTTTCAGTTCTCAAATTTCTAGTAGTAAATATGCAAACCTGTCAGACTTGCAGTTTCCTGGTATCTTACCAAATTTTAATCTCTTGTTTAGTCTATGTCTAGTAATTTGAGAGTCTCATCCTCCTGTGACTTTTTTTTCTTTTGTTCTTTCTATTCCTCATTCTTACTGTTAAACTCCTGTGTATCTCATTATGTTTACTCACTTGTCAATATTTGAAAACCTACTAAAATAATTTGATGCCCAGGATGATATTTTCATTCTCCATGTGTGCTCATTTGCTTCTTCCAGGTACCTTGGTACTAGTAACTCAGGATAATTTTGAGATTTTTCTGCACCTTCAAAGCTGAGTTAGAGTCTTAGTACTTATGTCTTATTCACTCTTTAAAGTTCAGCCCTTCAAGAACTGAAAGTTGAAGGTTTACCATTCTCAATTTGTCTTCTCACACATTTTAGTAATTTGTTTGTTTCTTTGGTTTGGTTTTTTGAGGCAGAGTCTCCATTGTAGTTCAGGCTGGCCCTGGCCCTGAATTCACTGTGCCACCCAGGCTGGCCTCAAACTCTCAGCTATCTTCCTGTCTCAGCCTCCCATGTGCTGGAATTACAGGCGTGTGCCAGCATGCCCAGCCATATTAGTAATTTGTAATTTGTTTGCTAAAATCAGTTTTCTGATGCTTTCCACCACATTTTTTTAAAATTTTTTTTCAACTTTTCTAAAGTTGTCTAGCTAGAATGTTAATCCAGATGACCTAGCCTACATTGTTTTCTAACAATTGATAATATATAAAATATACATGACTTTTTCATGCTGCTTTTGCATCTGGAAACTTAAATTCTAGTCATTTTTGTAAAATATTTATTTTAGATTTTTTTATAAAAACTTTAACTTTAAATAGGGACAATTTAGTGTTTTCTAAGATCTAACTTTTAGTTTTATTGATTCTTATTATGTTTGATTTTCATTCATTTCTGCTCTTAAAATAATATTTACATTTTTCATTTTTATTGTTTTTTTCTGGTTTCTGTCTTTAGATAAGTTACCTCATTCATTTTCAACTTTTTTCTAACAGGCATTATTGTAGTAGAATTAAATTTATAGTCTAGTTATGGTTCACAAGTTTTTTTATTAATATTGTTCATATTTGTGTTAGTTTTCTTTTGCTGTAACATTACCTGAGAAAACATAAAGGAAGAAAGATCTGTTTTGGCTCAGTTTCAGAGATTTCCATCCATGCTCAGCTAGACTCTGCCGAGACAGAACATGGTGACAGGGAACACTTGTTGAAACAAAAGTGGCCAAGAAGCAGACAGGGATCAGGGACAAAATACACCTTTCACAGCCATACCCCCGATGACCTCCTTCCTCCAGCTAGGGCTCACCTCCTCCAGTTTGCACTGCTTTCCAGGAGCCCATGAAGGTATGGATCCACAAATGAATTAATCTATACCTGGGGTGGAGCCTGCGTCATTCTCTCACCTCCTAAAAACCCTGCCTTTGATAATTGCTGCTTTCAACAGTTGAGCTTTTGGAGTCATTTAAATTCCATAGCAATATTTAATTAAACTAATTTTGGATTTTCATCAATATTTCCTTTGCTGCTCTTTGGTTCTTTTAGGAGAGTATGGAGTGTTAGCTGGGCATGGTGGCACATACCTGTAATCCAAGCACTCAGGAGGAGAGTGTGTGGTGTGATTAAAAAATATGGTGAATATTTGAATTTAGAAATTTATTATGATAAAAGACACTTTGCTGTTACTCTCAAAATATTCCCTTTTGTTTTAAAAATACTTTGCTTTGGTTCTTGCCTCTTTCTGAGGCAGTTCTGGAAGTCTACAGTTGTCTTCAGTTGCTTGTTATGGCTGCTTCAGTGACGTGAATTAATTCAAAACTTTTACCTTGTGTCATCAATTTGACTTTGAGGAAGAGCCAAAAGTTACACAGAGCTAGATCTAGTGAATAAGGTGAGTGAAGATATGCCAACATTTTTGTGAGCCTGCCTTTTCCTTGAATGGCATTCAGGAAATTACATTCACCATATTTTTTATCATCTCATAAAGACACAAAACAGAACTTTCAGAGCTGCTTCAAAAATGGCAAGAACAATAGGATAAGTGTGTTCATAGTGGGGGGAGTATTTTGAGTGGGATTAAAGGCAAAGAAAGTAATTTGACCATTAATTATATATTTTTATTGCCTCTTATATATCATTTCCAAACATGCAGTTTTTCTAATGATCATTTTTAGTTTAGTTTTCACTTTGGTTGAATTTTGACCACAATAAAAAATGAACTTCCTGGTGCTGGGGATTTAGGTCAGCGGTTCACTGGCCTGCCTCGCAAGTGCAAGAACCCGAGTTCAATCCCCGGTACCAAAAAGAAAAAAAAGAAAGAAAAAAAATGAACTTCCTGGTTTTAATCATTTGATACTAATGACTCATTTGTAGCCCCGAGTACGGTAATTATTTTATAATAATTTGAAAGCAGTGTATATTCTAGGGAGAAATCATGACTTCATATTTGTCGAGGCCCTAGACTTCATGGAACCAGAGACAAGCCATTCTCACCCATGATGAGTTTCTGACTCACCAAATTAATGATGATTTATGTAACTGAGTGAGGAGTTATACAAGATACATAACTGTAGGACAGTTGTATCATTCCCCACTTACATACTGTTGTGTGTTTTATTTCTCTTACGTATTTTAATTGTTGCCATGTATCAATGCTGTGATATTTTATTTGTTAATATAGTTGGTATTTGTATTTTTACACACATGAAACCAGTGTCTCTGCTCTTTATTCTTTTTTGTATCTAAGGTTAACTGCTATAATTTGAACATCTGTATCTCCTAAAAGTTTGTGTATTGAAAGTAAAATCTCCGAGTGATGGTATTAGGAATTGGCTCTTTCTTTCGGATGTGATCAGGCATGAAGCCCTTGTAAAGGAGACCTGAGACTTCGGAGGATACAGAGAGGAGGTGCCACCTTTGAGCACAGACATCAAGCTGCTGGTACCTTTGGATCTTCCACCACTCTGAATTGTGAGAAATAAAGTCCAATATTTATTATAAGCCAGTCTATTTATGATGTTTTGTCAAAGCTGCCTGAGTAGACCAAAAAACATCTGAGATAAATTTATATCTAAAACACTTCCTTTAGAATTCTGTTGTGTGAGAGTTTATAGGTGGCACAATTGTTCATAATTTGTTTTCTGAAAATATTCTGTACTTTGCCCTCATTCTTTTTTTCTTATTTTTGCCACTCTAGGCCTAGAATCTACTAGGCAAAAACTCTGCCATTGAACTATACCCCCAGCTCTCAAAGGTATTTTTGATAAATACAGAATTCTAATATGGACTTAAATATCTTTCAGCATAATGGAGATACATATTTTACCACTATCTTAGAGACTTTTCTCACTATTGAGACAGCTGTGAAGCTGTTTCTCTTGCTTCGGTTAGACTTGTCACCTTTGTTACACCCTGGGCTTTTGATTCTTGTCCCTTATCCCCTTCCTTTCCACTTCATTGCAGCCAACCATACTGTTTTGCCATCTTCACAAGAATTAATTTTAAAAATTTTTCTACAGTCATACTATATTTTCTTTTTTTTTAAGTTAAAAATTCCTTAATTTTTTATTCCTGGTACCACTACCACAATTTACAGGGCAATATACCTGATGTAATGAAAAGAAAAAGACAAAGCTACAACAGATAAAAGACCTCAGGAATGTACATCTAATTGACACTACATTGCATTAATCAATAGCTGCACTTTGCAAACTGTGGCTATGACAGTCCTGAACCAGAAGGGTTTCCTGTTTAAGCTGCAGTAACTTTTCTGACTATGGATCATCGTTCCTTCTGTGGCAGATTTTTACAGTTCCACTAATGCATTTGGGACGACTGTCTCAAAGTAACCTGCAGCATTCCTGACAACTCCTCGCTGTCTCTCCTGCTAAGAACTGTAGCCCTTTTTTGTTGTTTTTTTTTTTTTTTAACCTTCTGCTACCATATCCACCACTTCTACCACCAGAGCTTCTTCCACCAAAACTGCCCCCCTTCATGGGTCCATAATTTAATTGCTGTTGACCACTATAACTTCCAAAGTCATTATAGTTTCCACCACCACCACAGTTACCACCACCAAAATTTCCTCCTTCATTGTAACCATCATATCCACCACCTTGGTTTCCATATCCTGGCCCACCACCACCATAGCCTCCTCTACTACTGTAACCAGGACTACCGCCATAGTTCCCACCATCACCTCCTCCATAATTACCTCTGCTACCACCACCTCCACCACCATAGCCTCTTCCACCAAAGTTTCCACCACGGCCAAAATTCCCTCCACCACCTCCACAGTTTCCTCCACGACCCATGAAAGTGCCAGATCCACCTCCACGACCTCTTCGTGATCCAGCAGACTGCATCTCTTGTTTAGAAAGGGCCTTTTTCACTTCACAATTATGCCCATTTATAGTGTGGTATTTCTGAACAACAGTTTTATCAACTGTCGTGATCCTCAAAAGTTACAAAAGCAAATCCTTTTTCCCACTCTTTCGTAACTTCTATGGTTTCAATCTTGCCATACTTTTCAAAGTAGTCTCTCAAATTATGTTCTTCTGTATCTTCCTTAATACCACCAACAAAGATTTTCTTCACTGTTAGATGGACACCAGGCTTTACTGAATCCTCTCTGGAAACACCTCTCTGGTTCCACTACACGCCCATCAACTTTGTGTGGTCGGGCACACATTGCTGCATCCACCTCTTCAACACAAGAGTAAGTCACAAAACCAAAGCCCCTGGAGCGTTTTGTTTGGGGATCTCTCATGACCACACAATCTGAGTGTGCCCCATTTCTCAAAATGTTCTCTTAAAACTATCATCTGTAGTTTCAAAGCTCAGACCACCAATAAACAGCTTCCTCAACTGCTCTGGTTCCTTTGGATCATGGCCCTCCTCCCCCCAGCGGCGGCGGTGGCGGCAGCAACGGCCAGAGTCGGGCTAGGAGCAACCAGGAGGCGGTTTTACCTCATTTTGAGACCGGACTCGCCTCTTCCAACTCGAGTTCAATATATCATACTGTATTTTCTTACAATGCAGAAATATACTAAAATTTTTGAAATGGTAAAAATTTAAACTCTTTAGTCACGTATTTCTTGTACATATTTGGAACAATTCAATTGTTAGACCCTTGAAAATAACATGTGCTTCTTTTGTAGTCTTTAACATATTCACAACAGGCCCATAATTCATATGTCTCACTGCCATGCAGCTATGATTTGAAATGATTGAACCATTGGGCAGCTTGTACCACTGATGGTACGTGCATGACTGTTAGATTGTTTGTACCACTTCTCAGGGGGTCTTTGCTTACAGTAATGCAAAGAAAGGTATTGATTTGGCAGCCCAGAAGTCATCATAATACCGTTCCTTTAGGAAAAACATTAAAATGATATTAATCATTATGTAGTACAGTTAATTTATGGTGCAGTAGTTGTAAATGCATATTATATATACCCTTAATGGAGTATTTGTAGATTTCCCTGTTAAAATTTGGAGAATTAATTGATAAACTATTCATGAATACAAACAAATTTAATGAAATAAATCTTTGTGTTGATTATTGTAATGATTTTTAATTGGTTTGAATAGTATTCAGTAATATATCTGTCAGTAATTATTCAAATTCAAGCAGCTAATTAGATTTGATCCATTTATAGACTTTATTAGACTGATAAAAGTGATTAGATTCATTTGTAACACTAATGGTACAAGCTGCCTGATGGGATGATTATGCATGTACGATTAGCGATTCAAGCCAGTGGAAAATGTTAAATCAATTAACACAATAATATATATAAGGGTTCAATAAATGCTTATGTTGGTAGATTGCATCCCACCTCTCATCTAAGATTCTTCAATTGATTCTGTTTCTCCGTTTAAAAGAAAGCCTTACTTTATTTTCATATATTCTTCTACAGATCGTTTGCTTTAATATCACAGATTTTTTTTAGGTGTTTTTCAAGCTTCATTTTTAGTGGCGCATACTAAAAGGTAGGTTTCTGAGCCGACTCACAGAAATTCTAATTCAGTAAATCCAAGGGAGGCGTAGAATTCCAGGTGTTTTCAGGCATACCAGATAGCGCGGTATTATGGCTTGTATCTAGATGTCCCCCAAAACCTCATGTGGTCATGAGATGAGACTTCTCAGAGGTGGCTGGATTTAGAGAGTGTGATTCTGGGATTAAGAGTGTGTGATTACTAAATCAGTCCCCTGATTTGTTTGGCATGATTCTGAGTGTGGATAATGACAAGGCCCACCTGGGATGTGAGTGCTACCTGCCCTAAGGGCATGTAGTCTGGATAAGGGACAGAAAGAGGGCTACTGTGGTCACTTGCTGCTTCACTACTTTGCTTCCATCTGACTGCCATGAACTGTTTCTCCTCTACAGTAGCCCTCTGCCATGCCGCGCTTGGAGCGAGCCAACCATGAATTGAAAGTTGCAACCTGTGAGCTATGATAAACCTTTCCTCCTTTACCTTTGGGTGTCAGCATTTTGTTTCAGCAATGTTAAAAGTAACTAAGATACACATTTAATTAATTTGCTGGAGTGCTATAACAAATGGCTTTGTAACTTAAATAAAAATTTTGTTACAAGTTTAGAAGCTAAAAGTCAAAGATCAAGGTGTCAGTGAGGTTGACTTGTTTTATTTTTGTTTATTAGTATGTGTGTGTGGTACATAATGTTTACATTCCTTGTGGAAAGTTTGTACATGTTCCTAACACATCTTGATTCCTTATTTCATCCCCTTTCCCTTCTTTCCCTTCCCCTCCACCCTCCGTCTATCCTTTGATCCCTTCCCCTTTTTTGGGGGGGTACATTTGCAGTACATAATATTTACGTTCCTTATATTGAGCTGGTACATGCACATCCCAGGTCCTTTTTTTATCCCGTATCCCTCCATCTGTTCATCCCCTTCCTCTCTGAGAATGATCTATCTCCTTGCTGCTTCTTATGTTTTATTTTCTTCTTTATTTTTACCCTGGGTTTCTCATTTAAGAGAATAGAATAAAGGCCTTACCTTTTAATTTTTAGTTTATCCTTGGTTCTTGATTCTTAAATTGTGTGACCATCAGAATCACTTTTTTTAAAATTTTTTTCAAAGGAAAAATATGAAACAACACACCTGAAGTTTGATTCACTACATATAGTCTGGGGCTGAGGGATCCATATTTGTAGAAACTGAGTGATTATATTCAGCTCACACTGTGTCATTTGTAAAAGAATGTGGTGTATACTCTTAACAACTTTGTACAGATTTATGGGTTAATTTTGAGCTAGCAAAAATGTGAATGACACAGAAAGTAGTACATTTTATTTATTCTCAATAATAAAATATGTGGCATGTAGTCCTATTGAAAAAGAGCTTCATGTCTCTGGCTTTCAGGTAGACAAGTGACATTTTATGAATTGGTCAGATTGTATTCCTACAAGATCCTAGTGAGCTTTTAATTGAACTTAGGAGAGAATCTGCTATAGAAATTGTATAGGGGAAATGGATTTAACTGAAGCCTAGAAAAACAAAAACTCCCTTTAGGCGGTAGTATATGTTAATTTACAGCAGTGCATAGGAACGCATGTATTAACAAGTCACATCGTACTCATGGTTTGCCAGTGAGTTGGTTTCATTAAAATAAGTTAATAATTGTATACTGCATTTTTATTAGGGTACAGGTGAACAATTTGTAAATCAGGATTAAGAACGGGAGGTAATTCTTTTCAAAAGTGAGATACTCTTTTTAAAAATACAAATTGCTGCTGGGTGTGGTGGCACACGCCTGTAAGCCCAGCACTTGGGAGGCTGAGGCAGGAGGATCACTGTGATTTTGAGACCAGCCTCGGCTACATAGTGAGTTCCAGATAAGTCTCAACTATACAGTGAGACCCTGTCTTTAAAATATA